GGGGGGGCACATGCAGACGGGCGTGGGACAGCGGAGGGGGGGAGGGGAGGGGGAGGGGGCGTGGGGCAGCGGAGGGGGAAGGGGGCAGAGTTGGTGGGGTTTAGGGAGTTTACAGGATCGGTGGAGGTGGATGAGAAGTACATGAGAAACAGTGATTACTGTGCACAAGTGGGGTTTAACCCCCAGCAGGTGGTTAGAAGGGGCAAATCCTACATCCCGGGATTTGGGGGGGAAAAGAGTCTCACAGCAGCTGGCGAACACACTCAGTCCCTGGGTATTCAGGCAGGTTCAGGCTGTACTTCCTCTCCAGAGCAGGGGGGACGAAGCGGCCCCCAAGGTAGTGGTAACGTCCGTGGAAGTGGGCAGCCGCTTTCTTGGGGGCGGTGAGGGAGACGAGCAGGTCAGGCTGGATCCCGCTTGGGTTACCCTTCTCCACGTCCCAACCTGCCAGGGGTGGGGGAAAAGAGGGAGAGACAGAGACATACAGTGAGAGTCACAACGAGGGGCTACGCCAATCCCCAAAAATATCGCTGAACCACCCTGTTTGAAGTATTCCGATTAAGAAGCAGCCAGAACCCATTCCCTTTCAAGTCCATACACTGCTCTGGCTCTATAGTTCCCTCCAATGCAAACCCAGAACACAGTGAGCAGAAAATATTCAGGGCGAAACCCTTTTCCCCATCTCCATCTCCTTTCCTCTCCCCTCCCATCCCACCAGTTACATCCATCTCCATCTCCCCACCATCCCCAATCCCCTTCTCTTAACCACTCCACCAAACATCACTCCAGCTCTGAATGCCTTGATTCAATTTCCCCCTCTCCACTCCGAGGAGAACATTCCCAATTTCTTCCCCCGTCTCTCCGTCTCTCTCTCCCCCTCTCCCCCGGCCTCTGTCTCTCTCTCTGTGTCTGTCTCTCCCCCCCCCCCCACCACCTTGTTCCACTCGCTACCGTCCCCTCCACCTCCCCCGGGTCCTATCCTGGGAAATCTCCCTCCGTTACCTACCACACACCCTCCCAAATCCCACCCCGAGATCCAGGACATCCCGGAATTGATCTTCTGGTCACCAGGGATTTGGCATGTCTTGCTGTGACCTCTTTCAAACATGGAGTCATACAGCACGGAAACAGACCCTTCGGCCCAACTCGTCCATGCTGACCCAGGTATCCTAAATTTATCTTCCCTGTCCCCGGTCCCCGTCCCCGTCATCACCCCTTCCCTGTCC